TGTAAATGCAATTAAGAATGCCCTCAAAAATAATGCTGTGCTGTCTTAACAAAAAGAAACCAATAATAAATAACCAAAGTATTATCTGCAATGGCTTTAAAACATACATCTAGCAGAAATGTTTGCTAAATCCATATGGTTATGTCACTACTTGAATGTTCACCTTGTGTTTTAATGACTCAAGAAAACAATTCTACAAGCTCTCATTTTTCAGACTCATGGAAGAATACAAGCATATATACATGTATGCACACATGCACAGTCTTTTTTTTGAGAGAGATTTCTTTTAAAATTTGAGCTTAAAAAGTACATATACTTCTGTTGCTTCAGAGATTCAACCGTGCTAATGATGACTCCTGGTACCAGGTACCAGAGCTCAACTTGGGAGGACTGTAAAGCTCTTCATCCTGAGCTTGCAAGTACTAGTCCTGCTGCATGGCTCTTCAAAGAATGTAACCTAGGAATTGTGATATAGAGAAGTCCAAGCTAATGCTGCTCAAAGCTAGCTATTTGTGCTGAGTGGTGCTGAGCCACTAGGGAAGGTACAGATTGAGCTTCAAGATGTATCAGAGTTCTACTAGACTGCACGTCACTACATCACACTGCACGAGTGTCTAACACAGGTGCATTGTCCTACTGCACTAGGTAAAAGCTCAACTGGACAGTAAAATATAACCTGATAGATCATGCCTGTGTGATCCTCAGGAACTCTCTTAGGTGGGATGCAGAATACAATGCTCTCTCCAAATTTTTAATCTCCTGTTCATATCAAAATCTTGTACACCATCTAAACATTGCAGGTTTGGTATTCGCCAGGCTGTAGTTAAGCTGTAATAAACTGTTTTATGTTCTATTTTGTTATAAAGAAATTAAAATCAGAACCTTACTGGAGACTTAAGAAACCCTTGTCACTTTTTTTTTTTCTTAATTTATCTTTAGCCTGCTAAAATTTCACTGTGTTCCATGCTTTACAACACTCTTTTAAGAAGACATGAATCACTAATCTTTCTTTGTATTTCTCAAGTGGTGAACAGCTTGGTTTGAATGACTACCTGCATTCCCTTGCACTGTATGTGCTATGCTAGGATTTCCCTTCTTCCACTGGAGAACCAGAGGGACACCAAGGAGGCCAGAAGGGAACTATTCAGGGAGCACACAGGGAAGGGGAAGCAAGGTCCAGGTGAGGAACGATCCCCTTTAAATACAGTTGGATCTGCTTCTGGACTCAACTTCAAACACCCGTGGCTCTGTGCAGGACCAGCAATAAGTGCTGGTCATTGAAATCACTCTGGCTGCTCCAACCAGTCGGGCCCTGAGCACCACACAGCAATCCCACGTGTGTCATCCAATTGTTCAGCCACTGCATTATGTTTTGGCTACCTGTATCTGGAAACTTAGTCCAGTAGGATACTGTTAGAAATAGCATCAAAAGTTTTGCTGAACCCAGAAGAGATTACATCTACTGTCTTCCCTTGCTCAAATAGATGGGTAGCCTTGTCATAAAAGCAGATTCACTTGGCTAAACAACACTTTCCCCTCATGAGCCAATGTTAGCTGTTGACCAATGACTACATTTTCTTTCAGCTATTTTTCAGCAACACCTAGAATAAACTTTGCTATAATAATTGCAGGAACTAGAAAAGAGACAGACAGGCCTGTAATTATCAGGATCTTCTTTTATTGCCCCTCTTGAAAACTGGGACTTTGCCAGCTTCCAGCCAACTGAGACTTTTCCAGATTCCCAAGATCCTTTAAAAATAATTGACAGAAGTCTCACAATGACATCAGCCAGCTCTTTGAGTGTCCTGGGATGAATCCCATCAAGCCCAATCCAGCTGCAAAAGCAAATCCCACACAATTTTGAGGTTGGCTGGGAGTTCATCTACGCACTGTTAGGGATGCAGAAGTTAGAGCTTTCAGATCTTTCTGAGCTTGGTTTTTTTTTTAAATAGGCATTATCCTTTCACATTCTCTAGATCTGTGCTGTTGTGATTAGATGGAGACAGAAAGCCAACCAAGAAGTCGTAAGTCCACTCCTCCAGTATATGTAAATGAATGCATATGAATATAATGGGTGACAGATATCAACTGAAATTATGCTTAGTACAGACTGAACTAAGCAGCAAGAAGATAATGCAAGAATAAAGACATACACGTTTTAAATCAGGCATGGGATGTGTTACCAAAGCCTTATGCAACAAGGCGACTGCATTAAAATATATGCATCAAGTCTACATTAAAATGTATGAGCCACAGGAGAAATTAAGACCTGTCAGTATGACAAATTGCATAATGTCAGTGAATAAGTGTGTAGGATGATAAATCTTATCTTATTTAAGAGCTAAGCTCATAAAGGTATGTCCTGTGTACAAATATTAGTTATTAGGGACTCTGATAAATGAGATTATTTCAGGAGGTATTTCATGGTCCATCTTACAAAAGACACTGCACATGACAAACAAATGAAAATAATAAATAAGAAAAAAAGTGCCAAGTTTAATCTGTAACCTGACCCGATTCCATCAAAGGAAAGCATTGTAGAATAAAGAAAATAATTGGAAAACTATCATTTTCAATCAATCAATCAATCGTAGCTAATAAAAAAAATAAGAGAACGAGATCCAGATTTGCACTCTAGTTCAGAAGAAAACACCATTTGAGAAATGTGTTTCATACATCTCTCTTTTTTCACATCTTGTAGTATTCCTGCAAGTCTGCTTTGCAGTGACAGTTTTGTGACTCCTCTTTTAAAAGAAAAAAAAAACAATCAGAATTGCTTATTATAATTTTTGGTCTCAACTAATCAAAAACTTTGGCAGCAAGAACTACTTTAATTTTTGTGTTAAGATACACTAGGAAAAAAAAAAACAAAAAAGTCTGACTTACTTTTAGTATCCCATAAAATGTCTTGTTCTGGAGGAGCAGCAAACAGAATGTAGAGTCGTATGGTGTCAATGCCATACTCTTTCATTAATTCTTCAGGATCTATTCCATTGTGCTTAGATTTGCTCATTTTTTCCCAAGTGACTTGGACTTTCTCACCAGTTTTTAGGTGAACTGGTTCAGTGCCTAGGTATTATGACAAACACAAAATATTGAAACAAATTTTGCTCATTTGAAACAACAATTCGGTTTCCTAAGAACATTAAGAAAAAACTATTTGTGGTGAGGTGGTTTGGCTTTTCGTTCTCCCAAACAGTTTAAAAAGAAAAATAATACAAAAAAGTAACAACCTTTTTCCCTCCCAAATTTTTCTCCCCTGAGATTTAAGCATTGTTATAAGCATACCATTTAAAACCTCATAAGTGGGCGTAATTATTTGGACAGTTTTGGCCTATTGTTAGCTTATATAGACCCCGGGTTCATAACTTTAACTGCAGTAAGTTATCCTGACAATAACCTGCTTACTGTTGCATGAATTTAGGGACAAATAGGGATATTTACACAGCACAGCAACAAAATTTTGCAAAAACACCTGCAAACTTTTCTAGAACAAAATAGGATAACAGACAACGGTACGTGTAAGAGGTTCGTGGGTTGTTTGGTTCTTGGTGGGATTTCTTTTTGTTTGTTTGTTGTTTTTTTTTGTTTTGGTTTGGTTTTGCTATCTTATAGTATGCAGGAGAAAGCAGAGAAAAAATGGCTATGTGAGAGGTTCTTGAAGGAGGGCAAATACAACCAAGCCTCTCTTGTTGCTACAGCTCTCCAGACAAGGGCTGCTGATCCAGCTTATGCAGTGAGGGCAGTGGGAAGAACTGAGAAACAGTATTTTCTCCTACTCTCATTATACATCCCATATATGTCTAATGTTTATTGAATATACTAACAACCATGTTAACTTTGCCACAGTGTTCATGTAGGTTGTCTGCTTGCTGGAACTGCTAACTTCATTCAGCAAGTTGCTGAGCACTGTCATTATAAAACTTTGGATCCTTTGGACTACACTAGAGCTAAAATGGTATCATAGCACTGATGCTGTATGTGGTTGCAATTAAAAGTTGCTAGATTAGTAGGGTCTCTGTACACTCAGCAGTGGATACGAATCCCAGCCTCACAGAAGAGACTCTCTGGTTTTAATATTACAAGGATTTATTTTTCCCCATCTAATTTTCCCAGCACTAAGATCTGTAAGTCCCTTTTTAATTGAAATAGTCTCTGACTTGCAGGGTGTACCTGTACTGGTTTTCTCACGCATCCTCTCTTACCAGTGAGATCAACCTCCTCTCTCTTCAAATATTGGCCTGTTGTTCTTAGTCTGAATGTCTGATTCTTGATAAGACCTTGAACCAACAGCTTATGGAAAGGCTCCCTAAGGATGGAAGGAGAAAGAAACTTGTAGGTTGAAAACAGCTGTTAAAGGATACTTATGATAAGCCTCAGATGTCAGACGGTCAGGTGTAGTTACGTAATGAAACAAGAATTTCAAGTTCATTGCATAAATGTTTGGCACCTTAGAAAGAGCACTTGCTGCATTTATTCATGGTGCCTCGCTGGCAAGTGTAAATACTTATTTATACTTTGTACACATTCTTGCATCATAATTTAGTACAGAATTATTACACTGTCACTTTTCAAATTAGCATAAAGATAATACACAAAAGTTCCTTGCCAAGTGGACAAGTTCCCTAACTCTAAGCTAAATCCCCATTTGTAAAAGTGAGCAAGTACGAGCTGTCACTTTTCTACAAATATTTAGTTCTAGCTTCTCTCCGAGAAATGCAGTACTGAGGAACAAATCAAATTCTTGCTGCACATTTCATTCTATAAACTGAGAAGATAGTTTCTCCAACACAAGCTTCCATGTCCAGACATGAAAACAATGGAGAAAATGAAGAAAAGGGCAATGCTAGAAAGTTCACCTTAGTGGATCTATTTATGTTTAATATTTATATTTATTCAAATATTTTATATTATATTTTTATCATCTTGAACAGTAAAACTCTACTTTTCTAATTTACATCAGGAAAGGTAAGTTCTCATTAAATGTGTGTACCGTAGAGCCTTAAGAGCACCAGAGCCAAAGGCAGAAGCTCACTCAGCAAGAAATAAATTCTAAGTAAACACTTTCCTAATTGGCAGATATATTATGCTGTCACCTTCTTTCAATGATCTTATATTTCTAATTCACCTAGTCAGCTTTCTGTCATTGTTTTCACTTAAAAAGTACAAGAAAGTTAATCTCTAGAGCTTTCCAAGGTCACAAGGGGTAGGAGTGAGACCCAAAGGGCATGGAGTCTGGGGAGTTTCCTCAAGGAATCCACAGGTAGAAAGACACTGGTTACCACCATTTCGGAGGACATGCTAGTCAGACCTGTACTTCCTAATGCTCTCATGTGCTCAACATTTAGCAGTTTGAATCACCCACAATTCCTCCTAACAAAGGCCCACATATTTACCAAAACACTTAAGAACAAAGGATGCATCACCTGCATTTACATATTTTCCAAAGGCTAGAATAAATTCATACATCTAAGGAAGAAACAGTAAGAATAGGCTTCCACATTTTACTTTACGTGTACCAAAAAATCATAATGCAAAACATTACCCAATTTGTAGAGTCACTGTTGTATTTTCACAAAATATAAAACATATGAAAATTTATCTCATTAGTTAAACCACAGTTATTTATTAAATATAGTACTCAACCACTAAATAATACAACATTTATGTATGGTTTTACAGTACTGAAGCAGATATCTTTCAAATGCTACTCCTTAAAAAAAGCAGCAGTCTTCATAGTTAACATTCAGCATATTCGTGTCTGAACAGGAGTTTCCTTCCTTGCATATTTTTCATACTTTCAAATATTGCCCAAGTACTGGCAAGTACTACTGGCAAGCGTATCATCCAGTCACCGAGCAGCACTGGTCTCCACTATGCTGCCTGGTTTTATCCATGATTCGAAGCAAGAGCATTTCTGTAAATATTTTTTATACTCAGGTTTAAACATCGGTTGCCTGAAAAATCAAGTTATTTGTAAGTACGTTAAAGGATCTTCGGAAGACAAAATTTCAACTCAAATTTAAAGAGTAGAAACAGAAAAACGTATTTTAAAAATAGGAAGCAGTCATCAACTCAGATCTCAAATAATTACCTAAAATTATCTAAGTCAATTAAAAGGTGAAAAACCAGGAACAAAAGCCTTGCATCCTATCCGAGATTAGTGAGTATAGTAATATTTCAGGAGCAAACTATTTGGAATAGTGCTCTTTCTACAAACTAAATAAATTATACTAAGGAAAAACTAAAACATTTTTTCTCCTATAATTGAATACACCAGGCTGTTTAAGAACTCAATTTAAAATAGCTACACTTGTTACTAGCTAAAGTAAAGCTAATGAGGTAGCCAGAACATCAAAGTCAGATAAGACTGTCCACTGGAAGTGATTTTTCAAGGAACACTTATTTTCAATGACAAACTGCTAGTTCAGATCACACGCCAAGTTATTAAAGGCTGAATGGAAAAATGAGCATTTCCTATTTTTGTTTATGCTGACAGAGACAACAAAAATGCAATACAAAATACATTACCAAGTATGGGGGGAAAAAAAAAACAACAACATTCGTTCCTACTGGGAGACCACATGAGAATGGAGAAATGCCCAAACAAGAAAACCAGAGCTGTCTAATAAACACAAGGCTCAGAAACAAATGGAGCCCTAAGCAGTTTTCCCTTACGTGCAGAGTGCCCTTGTCAGTGTTGTGATGGCTCCATCGCATGGTCACATGCAGAGTTACACTGCCTGTAGCTCGCAGCAGGGGTCAGTGCAAAGTGCAACACCTTCATCAACATCTGGATGAAAGGAGAGAATGCACCCACAGCAAGTTTGCTGGAGATAAGAAGCTGGGAGGAGTGGCTGATGCACCAGAAGGCTGTGTTGCCATTCAGTGTGGCCTGGACAGGCTGGTGAGTTGAGTGGAGAGGAACCTTACGAAATTCAACAAGGGCAAGAGCAGAGTCCTGCACTTTTCAAGGAATAACTATATGCATCAGTACAGGTTAGAGTCTGACCTGCTGGATAATGATCTCTGTGGACAAGGATCTCGGTGTCCTGATGGACAACAGGTTGGCCACGAGCCAGCAGTGTGCACTTGTGGCCAACAAATGCCAAACATCCCAGGTATCCCAGATGCATTAAAAAGAATGTGGCCAACAGGTCAAGGGAGGTTTTCCTCCCCTTCTACCCTGCCCTAGTGAGGGCACATCTAAAGTACAACGTCCAGTTCTGGGCTTTTCAGTTCAAGAAGGAAAGGGAACTTCTAGAGAGAGTTCAGAGGAGGTCTACAAAGACTTCAGGGGCCTGGAGCATCCCCCTTAGGTACCTGCATCATTTCAGCCCAGAGGAGAAAACGCTAAGGGGATCTCATCACTGTTATAAATATCTGAAGTGTAGGAGTCAAATGGATGAGGCCAGGCTGTTTTCAACAGTGCCCAGTAAGAGAACAAGCAGCAATGGGCACAAACTGGAACCTAGGAAGTTCCATACAAACATGAGGAAAAAATTCTTTACTGTGAGGGTGACAGAGCACTGCAATAGGCTGTCCACGACCTCTAGACCCTGCCCACATGCTTTCCTGCGTAAACCACTTCATGGAACCAGCTTTAGCACAGGTGTTAGATGAGATGATCTCCAGAGGTCCCTTCCAATCCCTATAATTCTGTGAGTTCACAACGGCAGTAAATACTGGACTCAGAAGGATAGTCCTAGAAAAGGAGCTTACTGAATGTGTTTGCAACCCACGTCTTTAGAAAGGTTGGGAGAGCCCAATACCACGTCCTAGAGCTAAGACAGGACCTTGGTCAGTCACTGGCAGCTGAGTCCAGGAGGTTACAAAATGTGCAGTTAGAATCATACATACTGGCACGACTGCAGAAGGCCAGAATAGAAACGAAAGATGGCATTGCAGGGACATTATTTCAGGCTGAAGAAAGATCAAATAATATTGAACATTTAGATTTTACGCAGTCAATAGTTGAGTGCTTTTACTGAAAATCAATATTTGTGATCAGGTCCCTAATGAACTCTGAAAAGATGTGAAACACTTCCTTTAGAGAATAACCTATTTCTGTCATACAGGTACCTTCTTTTGTTCTATAATGCAGCTATGTAAAAATAGTGCCTTCTTATTCCACACGTTTGCTCTCTATCAAAGTCAAATCTGCTGAGTTAATGGCAACAATAAACTTTTTTATTGGTTTGTAATCCTTCAGGAAGAATGTATTAGATTCCACTTACAATTATTCATCTGACAGAACTGATTACTAAAGGGAAGAGGCAAATTCTGTGTAACTTTTACTTGCAATAACATGGTTGAACAGATGTAACCGAGTGTGTCAACACACTCACCATGGTGGATTAAGCTGGAACAGATGAGGTAGTTGCTGGCCCCAGCTGCCTACCTGGACCATCTCCCAGTGTTGGTTACAACAGGGAGGGCTGACCGGCTTGTGAATAATTCCAGATCTGTTGCAGTTCACAGATAGCTAAAACAAAATAATTTGAGCTTAATCTGTCATATGTATCAGTACCCAGAGGGTGCTACTTATGCTGCTTCTCAGCTCCATTTCAATGAATTAAAAACATATGTAAAAGATCATGCCCCATCTCCAGGGGCTATTTAAACTATATTTACACCTTTACAATTATAGATGCCAAATGTTGCATTTGATATGAAAGCAACTGTGACATCTGTAAATGAATGGCATATAATATTTATACTGTAATAATGTATATCATATGCAAGGAGACTGCTTTTCAAATCTGAACTCTGAAATTTTTAACTTTTGTTTTCAATCTCATTATTAATGGTCCTTAGTATAGAATTAAAGACTAACGGGAAAAAATGACAATAAATTTGAAAGGAGGTTAAAAGCCAAAAAATGAAGATTTTCATAAGAAAAATCCATCAACATGAAAACTATTACAGAATAATGGGGGAATCTCAAAGATTTGTCCGAATACTAGTTAGCACTTTAAATGGTGGCAGCTTTCATTAACTGATATGTTAAAATTTTACTAATTTAATCAGCGAACAGAACTGAGCAGCTAGAAAAAAGTCAAGAATGCACAAGAAGGCAGTATTTTTTAATACGTTAATATATTTTCCCTCAGAGCTGTGGGCTTCAATGCCATGACTTTAAGCTTCCTACTAATAAGCTTCTTGTTTCTGATTACCTTTCTGGTCTCCAATACTCATCCTTGAGCAATCCTAGCAGAAGACTGGGCAAAAGCAGCTTCTGACAAAAGCTAAAACATGTTCAAAACATGTGGTATTATTGATAGAGGAGTTGCAACTTCCACATCAAAACAACTTAATTTGACTTCATGGCTTAAAAACACCTAATGCTTTAACTTCTGCAGAGCTAAAGCAAGTAAGCAATTTTATGTACGATAAGGAATTTGCTACAGTCACCTTGCATTCTAAATACAAACATAAGCAGTACAAACAACAGATCCTGGGGGCAATGCTATAACATATCTTCACATGTACAAGTTCTTAAGTTTGTGTATTACCTCAGGGGGATTTTGTACAGTCTTGAAAATTATGTCTACATAAAGCAGCTTGGATTTTCTCTGCTCTTGTCACTAAACACGGTCAGTGCTTTTTGTGCATTTTTTTTGCACCAAAGTTGAAGTTTTCCCTATGAAATTTACCATATTTAGACCAACATACTTTACACAGTTTTGGTGCTACTGCTCTGTCGCAGCATTCCAAATTTATAAACCTGTAGGACTGCAAAGCCTTAAAATAATGCAGATTGAAAGGGACCTTTGGAGGTCATATGGTCAAATCTCCTGCTCGCAGCAGACCTAACTTCAAAGTTAAAACACGTTGCTCTGGACCCAATGAGAAGAGTTTTGAAAATATCTGATGATGGAGATCACTGAAACTCTCTAGACAAACTGTTCCAGTGTCTGACCTCCTTTACTGTCACATCTTTTCCTTCAGTGCAGCTCTGGACCTTATTGCAGCCTGTGACTGTTACTCCTTATCATTTCTCTCTACGTGTCTGAGAAGAATCTCGTTCTGTCTTCTCCATAATCCACTTTTAGGAAGCAGAAGACTGCAGTTATATTCCCTCCTTAGCCTTCTTTTCTCCAAGGTGAACATGTCCAGCTCCCTTAGCCTCTCTTTGTATGCCACAAGCTCTACTTCCCAGCTGTCTTAGTGCCCCACCACTGGACCTTCTTCAGTGTGATAATGTTCCTCACACTTGGGGCCCTGAAACAAGACATGATATTCCAAATGTGACTTCCTGAGTAATGAGCAGAGATAGAGACAATCACTTTAGAACATGCTTTTGTTAACACAGTGTTGTATATTCTCACGCCTACTGCTGATTACACCCAACTTGGTTTTCATCCCCCAAAGCTTTCTCCATAGTGCCTTCTCCTACATAACTGTCCCAGTTCATGCTGCTGTTTCCATGTACAGGACAAGACCATTAGTCTTTGTTGAACTTCAAGAGATTCCTGTCAGCACCACCCTCAGTGTGCAGTGATCAATTAACTTGTGGAGGGTGCGTTCTGTTAAATTGTCTGGATTCTTGATGAAGATATTAAGATCTACATCAGCAATGACCTCTGAGGAAGACCACTTGTAAATAACTACCAGTCAGATTTTGAACCATTGTCCTTTTGAGCCTGGTAGTCTAGACAGTTTTTCCATCCATGTTATAGCCTACCCATTTAGTCTTTATCTTGCAAGCCAAAATACAAGAAACTTCTCAAGAGTCTTGCTAGAGCCATAATAAATGCTCATTGTTCATCCACAGAGGGAATCATCTAATCACAGAAGGAAGACAACTGAGTTGGGCATAACTTACATTTGGTAAATCCATGCTGCTCACTTCTAGTCACATTATCTTTCCTGAGTCTGAAAATTACTTCCAGGAGGGCTTGCTTCAAAATATACCTGGGGACCTAGTGCGGCTGACAGGCTTGTAAGTAATTCAGATCATCCTTCTTGCTTGTTCTTGAAGATACACATCTTACATCTGCCTTTCTCCAGTCACTAGGGGCATTCCCTGAGTTATCATATTGCTAATCATTACATCTTTCACCACAGCATTTCATGAACAATGGGCAACACCTCACAATGTTAAAGGTCAGCTCCTTCATCACCCCTGGGATGCATCCCATTTTGTCCCGTGAACTTGTGCATGTTTGATTTCCTTAATTCATCCTACTTGGCAGTGGGTAGTAACCATCCTACTAAGCACAGACCTTGATAACAAAGACCAAGGAAATGATTGTCTTTTGCTTACTAGTTTGTTAAGCTGTTTGTCTGATCTGGTATCAGGCCAATATTTTCCTTGATATTCCCATCAATGTATCTGCAGAAATTCTCACTGCCTTCACATTCTTCACAAGTTTCAATTCTAGATAAATTTTGGCTTTTCCCAATTATCATGGGCCTACCCTTTTACATTCTTCCAGGGGCAACCAACCACAAAATCATAGCATCATAGAACGGCTTCGGTTGGAAGGGACCTCAAGGATCATCAACTTCCAACCCCTCTGCCACAGGCAGGGTTGCCAACCGTTATATCAAGTACTAGATCAAATTTCCTGGGGCCCCATCCAACCTGGCCTTGAACACCTCCAGGGATGGTGCATCCACAACCTCTCTAGGCAGCTGTGTCAGCACCTCACCGCTCTCAGTAAAAAACTTCCCCCTGACATCTCTCCTCTTTTAGTTTAAAACCATCTCCTCTTGTCCCACCACAATGCCCGCTTCCACTCTCCATGTACTTATTTTTAGTGCTCGAGGTCAATCAAGAAGTCCCTTTTCAGCCAAGTTGTGCTCTTTCCATGCATTTTCATTTTCTTGCACGTAAGATTGGAGGACTGCTTACTTTGCAAGCAAACTTTTTTTTCCTTGTGGTCTCAGTTTATAGTAACAGTACTTTAGCCACCACAGTTAGAGAGGTAGAAGAATTTGACCAGCAGAAGAACTATTGTATCACAGCTCCATGAGATGGCAGATAGATCAGTATTGTAAAGTGCTTTGTAGCACTGATAAAGCTGTAATCACCTGCAAAGAAAAGCTTTGAAATTCTCTGCTAAAATAGTTACAGAAAGGATCAACTTTCAGAAGCCCACTCTCAAAGAAGGAACAGCCTTACTGCTTGCAAGCTGGAGACAACTGAGTAAAACACACGTACAGAAATCATCCATACCAAAACTTCAAAGAAATGAAACAAATGAAATAAAAAGAACGTGTGATAAAAACTTGATAGTCTGTTTTCATCAAATGATTATGAAATAACTCACAGGAATATTCCAGTGGCTCCATTACCTACCTATTCCACTCTTTTCTGGTGCTCAGCTACTTAAATTCTAGTATTATAGTGAAATCACTATGTCATGTGTTTGTCATGTTCCTCTTCTGCATAAAGTTTGAGAAGTGGATGCTTGTAAGGAATGAATGTGAAGGAGTTGCCAGCTCAGAAATTACCAAGCAGTAGTTCTCATGAGATCACTCATTCTGATTTAATCTATTCAAACATCTCTGCTGATGGGGTAACAGGACAGAAAACAGGTATTTCACTGTTCCACCACTTATACTCTCCCAGTTGAAGCACTCCTGTGATGGCATTTTAGGGTACAAACAGGCCAAAATTTGAGTGGAAACTGGGTCATTAAGTTGGGAAACAGGCAGGACAAAGCATAGTAAGATCTAATGACTCATGTTCCTACCTCAAACTTAACCCCTAATCAAAACAATAATGAACAGTACAACATCACACTACAACAGTAACAAGAGTTGTTAAAAGTAACTATGTAAAGTAATTGAATAAAGATTAATTGACAGCAGGAAAAATATACCTATTTTGCTATTATGAACTATTTTGCACTGTTCAGTCCCCAAACTGCAGTGAATTACATGAGTACGTATACATGGTTACACTGAAATTAATGATATTACCATGCAGAAAGTTATCTATTTTTTTAATAAGAGTACTACTCAGAATGCCTGAAGTTTATAGCTTATGTAAACTTTTGCAGGCTGAAAATCTACAGTAATATTTTATCACTTGCTCTGAGCCAGTTAATATCCATGTAGCAAAAAAAAAATGCTAGGTATGCATGCAGAAAATGCAACAAACTATAAGAAAAAAAGTAGTTAGCCTAATAGTTAAGACTGACCAGCAGAAAAATGCAGGTTTATTCAAGGTGATCACAACAGTGTGCAGTAACACTTCTGCAAAGTATATGAGATCTGAAAGATTTTAATAGAAATATATAAGGCTTACTTGTATTTGGTCATCTTTAGCTCATGGCAAAAATGGCTGAAAAACCTAGCATAGAATAAGTGCATAACTGCGTGCTCCTTGCCTCCGATGTACAAATCCACAGGCATCCAGTAGTCAGCCAAGTCACGATTAAAGGGCCTGAAAAAAAATGCAGAATAATTGGAAAAATACAGCAGGAAAGAGAAAGATCAGTTCTGCTAATGTAGCTCACCATATCTGACTGGACACCACTATTTGCTGAGATCTACACATGTATAATAAAACTTACTTTGCAATCTTTTTAATCTTGTCAGAAATTACATGCTTATTAAAGGGAAAAAAAATAATTTCCACTGAGAAATGGCTTCAAAGAAATATTGTTTTCATATATTTTGAGTGTTAACTAAGATTTCACCTATGTCACCTCAGAACGTGATGAAAATATTTTCTTGTTCTTTATAGGACTTTACTTCATCAACATCCTGTGGCTAGCATTTATATTGTTTATTATTTACCAACATCAAGTTTTACATAAAAATATATTGCTATGGAAGACAAAAGACATGCCTGATTACAAAAATAAACTTTTTAGTAGAGTTCTGCACTGTTGCCATTAGAGGGCAATGTAGCAGCTTAATACAACACCGTTAAACATTCAAACAGTCAGATGGGTCATCGTCCTCAAACCTAAGGATGCTCTGTGAATTTACAGGAAATGCTGGTGGTTATTTGAATTATCTGAGGCCACCTGCATGGTATCCTAGTATTACCTTATACTTTATTAAATATTCCTATACAGACCATTTGTACATTCTTTAACCTATATTTTATGGCTCCATTCTAACAAATTTACTCATTTTGTCTTCTTGTTCAATTATTCCAACTGTAATTCTTGTGACAGCAATACTTTATTCCTCACAGAGGAGCCCAGACACAAATCACAGATATGAAATTCACACGTGTAGTGCAGCAAGTCTAAATTTAACGTTGTTCACATGGGTCTGAAATCAACAGAATAATTCTCCCAATTTCTAGGTTTATGAAATGACTTGTAGAAATACAGGTTTAAGCATACATAGCTTAACGGACAAAATAAAACCAACAAAACCCCCAACAAATAAATTAAATGGAGGTAGAAATCTACTACAGAAATCTGAACAAATGCTTTTATTTCAATGTAAAAGAGATTTGGCTACACTAAGCTGTTACTTTGACAGCTGGATGTTGCATATGCCCATTTCATCATCAACTGCTGGAAAATTTCCTCTTGCTCATGCACAACGGCATGTTTTAAACTGTAGCTGGAGAGATAGTAGTCTCTGTAACTTAAATAATATCATTAACAATAAATTCACACTGTCACTACAAGATGATCAGTGTGAAGCAGAAGTGTTCACAGAAGACTTTTCTTTAGGTTAACTGAATGAGTGCTGCCAATACAAAAAAATAACTGGCTAAATCACTTGGTATGTAGTATGTACCCAGGCACTGCTCTGGGCAATAAATAAATAGTCAATCCCCTAAGAGCTTTATATTTGGTAATAATATCTAAGAAATGCAACTCTTTCTGTCATCATTACAATGCAGTACTGTTCCACTAATTCCTCTTTGGAAAAAACAAAAAAACAAAACAAAACAAAAAACCAACTTGCATATTTTACTCTTATTTCACATAAAATCGGGCAGCCAAACCTGACATTTGAATGGCATTCTTGACATGACCTTCTCAAAGCATGCAAACTTCATGTATACAAAGACAGTTTACATGGACATCAGGAATACTAAAATGGAAACGCCAACAATTAAAGCAAATAAAGCAAAATTAAAGCACACCTTACTAGACTCCTTCACCAACATGAAGCTCATTATCTCCCACAATTTGTCAGGAAGATTTACGTCATCTAGTCGACGCTTTCCATTTATCTGTGCAATAACTGAACAACGTATGAAAAGTACAAAGGTTTGCTACCATCAGACTGCCCTACAGAATAGCTCTCAAAATACTCAAGAAACAGTCATGGACATCCATTGGACATCCATTCAGCCATGGCAGGTGGCAAACTAATTTGACAGGTGTATGTAAAATGCTTTTGGACAGCTTAGTCAGCCTCTGTGCAGGCTGCTTTAATGCTAGTGAGACAACACAAGGCAATATCAGCCATAGTAATGCAGACAGACTGTATGAAGCAGATAAATGGCTAAATAACTACATCTATCTTCCCACAGTGTCCATGCTGCATTCACTAATACACAGAACATGAAAAATCTCTTTTTATTAATTATGCATTTAGTCAAAGTAATACACAGCAGAAGCTTCCTCTTGCACCACCTCACTCTGGCTGTATGTATGACAAAGCAGCAAGACTTACTGCTTTAAAAGAAAGGAATTAAGGTGTCCATTAAGGTGTCATTCTTGGCAGCCAGAAGTTACACCATACTATCCCTCCTCCTCCCACTGGAAAAGAACTACCTGTCTACACACCAGAGTACTCAGTGTACTACTGGGGAGGACAGGCTCAAAGCAACTTACCACAGTCTCAGAGTTGTGATAGGCTGTCACTCTTGATAGCATCCTCCTCTAACAACCATCTTTAGTTCCTTAGCTGAACACTTTCACTATACCCTGGATCAAAAAGCCCTTTCATCCTGCACTTACACAAGCAGTGTTTACACATTCTGCTTTTGTAGATCTCCTGGCATCGGAACAACCAAATGCCAAAGTTTTGGAGCAATCCCTAGTCAACCCTTTGTTTTCCTCAGGCCATAGAGCAGACAAAAAATCAGGTTACTGCACAGGTTTAAACTGACTTCTGCAATTTAAGATAGAAGCACCAGTGAATCTGGCCTATTTTTTCCCTTCTATTCAGTAAGCTAGGATTGCCCACCAGGCAGCTCTGTATCCAGACCCCTTACCTGTCAGTGTTGTGAGGGTCTGTGTATCTCAGGTAATACCAAGCAGAATCCACAAATGTATCCATGGTATCAACTTCTCTCCTAGCTTCTGCCTTACATCTGAGCAGGAGAGAAAGACAGCAGCTATTGTTAAGAAAGCATCAACCTTGTCAACAGAATAAACACGTATGGAATGGTCGTGAAGAAATTCAATTTTAAAACTGAAAGAGTCTGAACAGTTTGAAGAGTGATACGTTCAGAAAAATTTCAGTGTAAGGAACAAGTGCACACTCTCCTTCCCCTTCCCTCCCAAACAAAACAAAATACAAAACAAAAGGCTGAACAGCTGTAAGATGAAGCAATAGCAGACTGTACAGCACATGAAAGTCTTCTCAATCACATATTCCTGTAATTTTTTTAAGAAATGTTATTAAAAAAAAAAGCAAGTCTTATAGCAAAGACAAAAATATTTTTCCATAGGGTTAATGGGTACTGAATATATGTCTCATTCATTAGGCACCAGCAGACAAACCATTTGAAAAACAATCAGCAGAAGGAGCAGGTGGTTACCTCTCACTGATTGTCTTTACAAAATGTTTTTTTCAGATTCCATTCATAATCTCCAGGAAAAAATAAAAGAACTTAATTGAATTTCAACTTTCACTGAGATGCGTCAAATTACTTCTAGAACGTGTAGCACATTTAAATTAATAATATTTATTTCTTTTGCAAGGAGTTATACTGGCAGCAGTGAGAAATAGTTCTAAAAGATATTCAGGTAATTCAGGTAAAGAAGCTCAGGTAATTTTCTTGTAATCTCTCCCAGACAAATAATTTGTTTGTAGGAGTCAATAATCATCAATCACCACATTTAATGAATTTTCATTTGTTGCAAGTGATCTCTCCTTACAGCTTTTAATACTAAAAGAATGAAAGTTTTGCAGCCCATGGCACACTTGTATGTGATACACATAATAAATACCCACATGGCTATATGTAACAGACGTATACAACTTATAAATGCATGTAAATTTAAATATATATACATGGAATAGATATGCATAATAAATGAGCTGTTGCTATTTAATTTTTCCAGCTGCATCTTTAGTCAAAATCATCAAGCTTTATGTTTTTGCAGCAACTTGTATCTGCCTTTCTACCTGATACTTCAGCTTTGCTTGTCAGGGCAAGTTGATGAGAATATCATCCTTCAGTGTTTTCCTCCCCTTTCTCTGCCTCACATCCATCTCTATCAGCAAGATTTTCTTTCAACAGGAATAATGCAGCAAAATAATTTTACTTTTTAATATAGAATAGCCCTTTTATTAAATTGTACATATGAGCAGGGACTTCTCCAACGTAAAATAAAACTGGAAGCAGCAGGGCTTGTCAGTCAAAATCAAGAATACTTTATAGTAATTGAATCACAATTGTATCTGTCTCATGCCTCTGCTGTTGCTCATACTCTAAATGGACATGGCTCATCAACACAGAAACAGTATGGGCATCTTTCAAAATTCATACAACAGGCATAATACTGTAATCAGATTAGATGATCTTCAGACAACTAACACAATTACCTGAACTTGTATAACAATGAATAACTTAGACATCTCTTTCCACTCGTAATTGTTTATATTATTGTAACTCAGATGTGAGTACTCACAGACTGATATTTTTCCATCTCGCTTTCCTTATTAATTTGAGGTATTAAATGCAATTAATGAGAAAAGATCTTATTACTGGAGAGAAGGACTAAAGGAAGGGATGATGTAACATCTCAGCGCAAGGGAAAACAGGAGTATGGAAGACTGTGCACACAAAGGCAATAGATCAAAGGATCTGAAACTGCAGCAGACACAAATGGATGTTCGATACCAAAGACAGCTGTCAGTTACGTAAAAATACAAAGCCAAATAAAAGTTAGAATTTAAAAAAAGTTAATTTCAGTAAACCACCACATTCTAAGCTGAGAAACCGATCCTCTACATCATGATTTCCAACTGAACAAATGCCCTTGATTACCTACCTGAAGGTGCGGCCACAATAACTATACAGAAGCAATAAAGATTTGCTATACATCAAAATGACATTGTTGCAAAATTAGCAATAAAATAATACCTGAATTAAGCACCGAAAGAAGCCAGGAGTGCAGACAGTAACTTTCAATTAAATCAGGAAAAAAAATTAGATAAAATTAGGGATTTTAGATCTGTGCATTCCTGGGGACTTGACTAAACCTGAGGATCTTGTTTAGTAAGGCTTCCCTGCAAGAGTCACACTTTAAAATAGGTTACTATATGAAATTTAAAGAGACGTATCTGAGAAGAAATGCTCTATGCAGAAACAGGAAAATAAACATGTCTGACTTAAAATACACGTTAACAACAAAGATCAAAATACACATTTCCAGAGAACCACAGAACTGCTTTGCCTAAGCTACTTAGTTAGTAATGAAAACCATATCAACATTCTACCCTGCAAATGTTGAAGTGAGATGTTGTGAAACTGCTGCATTATCAATGAGAGCCCTATGGCCATTTATGCCTGGTCCTCTTGCCTGGCAGTCTGACAACATACTTTCCATTTGGTCAATCTGTTAGCAGTAATATTGCATTACACCGCTGACAAAAAACTTCTCTGGGATAACTCATATTCTACAAGATTCTTCTGCAGAACATAGAGACACATCTCAGAGGACACAGCATGTAAGCAGTCCTCAAGATCAGTCATCTGACTTTCATGACATATTTCTTGCTACTTAATTTGGTCTGTTTCATTTCTTTAACAGTTGGGCTATTACAAATAAATATTACAACATAGACAAGATGCACATACTTAATATCTCCTTCAATGTCAATTACATGCTGTCATCTGTAACATACAGTGAATGTGATCCTCTGTGATAAAGAATTATATAGCTGATAAGGTATACTATTATTAAGAAAATGAATATGATGTTAGTTTCCTTACCAAAAGGAAATAAATAAATGCCACAAGCTGTGTATGAACTCTGCTGGTGAAAGATAATGGAAATTCTTGCAGTAAATGAAGTGAGAAATACTATTAAGAAATGGAGGGCATGGACAAAATAATTGTTTTCCCTGTTTTCTTTCTTCCAAAAAAGAAGAGCGAGGTTTGTTTCAGCTTGTTTATAAAGAAGTACCAGTGGGTGTCTGTTGCAAATACAGAGATTTACGGAGTTTGAAAGATGAAAAAACAACAACACTGGGTCAGATGAACTATACTTCTGGAATAGTATTCTGTGTCAGAGTGCTAAGTTGTCAACACTTACAGAAAGAGCACGTGAAACATGAAAGTACAAAGTGATCTCTCCCAGTCTGCATTCTCTCACCTTGGACAAGCACAGTTCACCCATTCTGGAACAGTTTCTAAAGGTGATGCTCCCTTCCCTGTAAAAGTGGTTACGTTGGGCAGCACCACAGGTAAGTCTTCATAAGGCACCGGAACAGTGCCACATTTTTGGCAGTGGATGACAGGAATAGGTGTTCCCCAGTACCGCTGTCGAGATATTAACCAGTCCCTTAATTTGTCACTCATTAGGTCTCCACCTATTCCTTTATTTTTGGCCTGCTGGGTAAGAGCTTTCAAAGCATCTTGTCGAGTCATGCCTGTGAACTGATTAGAAAAAAGAGAAACAGAAGAACGTGGAAAAAATCATACATTTTATCAGTGAAAATGCAGGAATAGACAAAATTTCACAGAAGTAATTTCAGAAAAACAAAGTTTACGAACCTCACATGAATGTTCCCTTTCTAATTTCTTAATATCCTCCTATCCAAGAGACTATTCACATACCAGCTACTTAATTTATTTAAAGTCTCTTGCTCTAATGATAATGTTCTTGACAGTCTGAATAGAATAGTGCTTAGAAAGACCTCTTCAGCCTTTACAGATAAAATACATTTATACATTATACACATAACTACATTTACTAATGATATTTTAATCAACTGCTTTATGTTGAAACTTTCAAAGGTTCACCAACACAAGGTGTAGTCTGAGGAAATGTGAACAGTAAAACATTTTTCTGTGTTCATTTTGGGTTACTGTATTTATTACTTCCAAACACAACCTAAAAATTTAGACCCTACCTTTTATTAAACAATAGACACAAAGTTCATATTCTACCAAATGCATCTTTCCAACTTGGTCTAGTGCATGGCATACCTGCCCACAGCAGGAGGATTGGAACTGGATGGTCTTTAAGGTCCCTTCAAATTCAAAGTATTCTGTGATTGTATGATTCCATGACTAAGTTCTTCTTGATAGCATACATCTACCTTGAGTCTTAAAAAGTAGAAAGCCCTTTAATCATGCAGTATTTGGCACATTCAAGAAAATAGTTTACATTGATAATATAAGTTGAGAAGAACTCCAAACTTGTATACTGACCTCCCCAGAATTAATGACTTTCTCCAAACCATTTGGCAGTTTTTCAATGACTTCAGTAAAAGAAATGCTCAGATTCTTCGCTACTGCAGCATCTTCTGCACTAGTACTAGGAATTCCTAGGGAAAAAAATATCTGGAATTGACTAACAGGGATATCAATCATCAGTTTGAGGATAAAACATTTTATCTTTATGAAACTCTCCTTATAATGATTTATGTTTGCTCAAGAGTTTGAAACTGTAAGAACAGTAAAAATGTTTTTCTGTTCTTTAAGCAATGAAATTCAAGCATCAATCATTACAGACACATTTTCTCAGTAATTCAAATGTTAATCAATGTCCTATCTCCGAGCAGGCTGAAAATTAGATAGTTCAGAAAGAGGCTAAAAATAAAGCAATATAATTTAGACAAATAATAAATTTTGAACAGTTATATTTACTAGATATAACAAAAACGTATTTAGGTAATACAAATTTGAATTCAATTTGCTAATATGACAAACACTAAACGACCAGGTTAAACATTCCTCTGGTTTTAATAGTAGATGTCATCTCTTTCTTCTGTAGTAGGGTATTAAAATCTACCAGAACTCAATTGTCTCTAACATTATTATCTTTGAACCCGTTAAGAAACACATGATTTGTTGATAGTCTCAATAAAACAATTTGAATAACACCAAATTTCTATTCAGAATATAGCTCGTGAGAGCACTTCCTATCGTCAAATGAAGTCACTGTATTTAAAGCACCTGATGTTTAATCTCTTTTCACATCTCATTATTCAGGTTGGCCACACATCTTGAATACATGTTCCCCTAACTCACTTCTTTTTATTATAGTAATTCACCAGCATCACAAAATGACATATTATCTTTAAATATTTCTCACTATATTATCTTTAAATATTTCTCACTCATATTGATTGATGAGGACACCTTTCCTCAGATTTTGCTGCAGGTATTTCAAAATATATATATTTTTCTACTTTGGAGGACTGTCCTTCAGAGTGAGTTAAGAAGTTTCTTAACTTCATTATTTCAATATTATTTCAGAATAAATTTGTTTGTATCAGATGTATTATTTCCACACTGAGATATATTATTCTGAATATCTTTTTCCCTTTGAATTTGGTGATAATTCACTTAATATTTTGAACAATCTTGCACAATTACTGTCATCTTTAGAAGGTGAAGCTTATTCTAACAATCCAGTGCAAACATCAGGTTGGTGAAAACTGTAATAACTCTCAAGATATTGTTAAACACATCAAAATTATTAACATACAAGCTACTTGACTGAAAACCAGTTTATCAAGAATCTTTCTTTAGGCAGTGAAATGTTTGTTATGGTAAATTTGTAAATATATAGACTCTGTTAATACATAGAAATTTGGAAGCAGAAAACTCAAAAAAACAAACAAAACTCCCCTATGGCATGTAACTCCCTAACTAACAAAAGACAAAATCACTACTTAATCTCTTCTGCACAAATAAGCTCCAGCAATTTAAAGGCTCTGTTACAGCATAATGTATGTATCCTAATCTGCCCTGCAGCCTACAACAGCTGGCGTCACAATATGCTCTACAAGTGGAAAAAAGGATATCCCACTTTTTGGTGTTCCTTCTGCTGAAATGATGATGCTATTAATGTACTTTCACAAAGCTCAATAGCTGGCATCCAGAACTTCCTGCAAAGATCTGGGCTGTTTCCAACAGACATAAGGCCAGAGTACATGCCTGTGAACAAGCTGGAAGCCTTTAATGAAAAATAAGATTAGGTACCTCAACTGTTTGGCTTTTCATACTCAAGGGAAGGTTCTAGTTTTCAAAAACAGATTAGCTCCTAAAGTGAAAGATGTGGACATATTATAAGGAAGGTATACAGCCCAAGTAGATGATTTCCATTGGCTCAGTGAGGGCCATCCAAGACACTTTTGCACAGTGTCCCCAGTAAAAGCAACACTTAGTAGCATGGCACAGGCACCTAAGTAGTTCTCCACAGTCAGCTGGCTCAGCTGTTGTGCCACAAAAGCCAACACTGGCAGCAGTGTAAAGGAAATAGGAGTAGTAGAACCAGGGCAGAAGTAACAACCACATGGAGGCAAAAAAGGAAAGTTAAAGAATTAGGAAGGTAGTTTAATGAGGGGGGGCAAAAACCCAACAGTCAGCCAAAAAGCTTGGTGTCTACTATTGTTCAAGATAAACCTTGCAGATTAAAATGGACATGAGCAAAACTTAGTGCAATCTCAAATTTTTTACTTAGAACTGTTGTCACATCATCTAGTCACATGTACTTATCTGTCTAGATTGAAGAACTAGGCTTCCTGTGCAGGAAAGGAGTAAAAGTGGCTGCTTCATAGGATAACTCTAAGAAGCCCATTTCATAAATTCAGATTATCTTCTACCAATGTCCTTCTTTCTCTGCTTATGGAAGGAACCCCAATCTTAAATAAGGGGTCTGAAGTTATGGGAATAGCTCCTTTAGAGAAAGGATCTAAGGTAACTGTCCAGGACTACCTGAACAGAATTCTAACCTATTCTGAACTCTTCTTCTGATCTCAACACAAATATTATCAGATACAACTCAAACTTGGAACTTTTGTATGTTTACTGGGTGAAATATCTTTGAAACATTTCTCTTTAAATATTCATATAATTTACATAAATGTATGACAAATTTTTTTTTAAAGCAAATAATCTGGGTTGTTTGAACAATATTTACGACAAACAATGGTACAGTTCTGTTTTGATTAAGAATGGTGAGAATCAAATATACATGTCCTATAGGTAATCAGCCCTCCAAAGATATACAGATCCTTAAATTTAGCTCATTAAATGAACTAATTTTGTGATATTTCCATTAAAATATATCATCTTGTATATCACCCTCCAAGACAGATTCTACATAGCTACTTTACCCATCCTTCTTCATTAATGAAAAACAGTAATGAAGAACAGAATACCGAAGTCCATCAGAGAATCACTGTCCAAAAATTTATCACAGAAGCATTTGGTGCTCCAACACAGAAGCTGAAAGCTATTGTATTCCAGTTACACAATAATTGTAGCATACCTATTTTAGTATCAAGATAATTCTCAAAACTTGTTTTTGCTGAGATTACAACAGGAATCTCTTGATTGGTAAGCAAGTTCACAGCTGTCACAGAAGTAAGTGAGTCTGAAAACAAATGATCATGGTAAGTAACATATGGCAGAAAATATGCTAAGAACATTACTTACTATTAAAACTCAGCTTATTTTGTACAAGTAATTTATATTATGAATTTTTAAAAGAAGAAAATGAAAAACCTAACTGCATTTCTAAAAAGTTCACAGGTATTAAAATCTTCACTAATTGATACATTTTCATGACTAGAAAGCACACCAAACATCTGAATCTGAATAAAAAGCTAAGTGAGATTTGGGCTGAAATTTAAAAAATAAAAAAAATTATTAAAAAAAAAAAAAGTCCTGGCCAAAATGCAGGCTTGCTTCAAAGTTGTAAGAATTTACTAAGTTGTGAATTGCGAATGTGAATTGAGAGTCACGAGCATTATTTCAAAATTCAGGAAAACCATTCAGTTATTCAGATGAAACAGATGAGGAGCATAGATACGCTTATGACTTGCTCTTCTACACAGCAGTAACCAATTTAAGAAGAAAATCTAAATAACTCATTGATTTCAAAACAGAATATTCACACTGATATTAGAGATAGGCTTATATCAACATCTTGAAATCGAATGTCTACAGGGAAGGGGAAGACAGAGAAGGAGAATGAAGGGTGAGAACAGCGATAAGCTAAATTGAGATTGTGTTTCTTTGCTGGCCTGGTAAGAAGAAAATCTAATCTGAATAGTCTAAATTAGGGGGACTCAAAACTGAGATCTCAATATGGACACATTTCGAAAATTGAAGTGCCTTCACAGCTTAAAGCGGCTCCCAAACTAATATATAAAGAGCTAGTGCTTTTTAAACTCAGTCGTGTGTTATAGATGCACATCCTGCTATGCAACAGTAAAGAAAGCCAAAGGCTCTGTGCCAATATGCCTGTTCCTGGTAAACAGGGTCTCAGGACTTTTAGTGGTCAGAGAAAGTATAAAAGGCCTCACTTCTAAGATCTAATTGTAGAGACTTGCATACAGTAGATGAAATTAATTTTTATTTTGCAGGAATGAGGTACAAAATTGCTGCTTCAGGGATCTGACTCAATGTGATAACAAAAATACAGACCACTATGGAGTTTTCTTTCACCTATCTTTGTGGAAAACCAAAAAAAGTCTGAGGCTTGTACTGCTATGCACAAAGTCTGTTTGAAATAAAATAACAGTACTTTACAGAATAGGCTTACTATATCTCAACTGTCTTTTTAACACAAACAAAATACTTAGTTACTTTGACTACTACTTTTTAATTTTTCAGGTCTCTAGGATATCCATATTTTAGAGAAAATTTCTTATGTTCAAATCATTGCACTTAGCTTTCCTTCTTTGTTTAAAAAAACGTACAGAAGTACTTTCTCTTTTTAAAAACAGCTAAGCAAAAAACATCATGAACAGGAACCAGTGGGTAGGGCAGTCTGCTTTAAAAATAACTTCTCTCTCCCACACGGCAATAATTTTGATTTGGAACCCAAAATAATAATTCTCCAATTTACGAAGACGTTCTTTCTTCTACTCACCTGCTCTCATCTTTAGTACAATAGCAGTAAAGAAGTGAAACTACAGTTACAAACGTAAAAGAACGTATGTTTGGTATTATAATGAGCTAATGAACAATATAAGGGTCATGTCTTTATTTCAGACACCTCACACTGGTAGAACTAGAAGCCTTACACATTCAAAGGTTAAAACATATTTTTCTTGGATAAAAAATGAGTTTCTGAAAACTGATTGCTCATTTCTATTTAAATTATAATTGTCTTGATGGAATAGGGAAGGATAGCTCTAATAAAATACAAAACTATACTCCAAGAGCACAACTATAAAAACCTTAAGTTAGTTTGGCATACTACACCTTTTTTTTCTCACCTAGAAAACATAAAAACATATAATTATTTAAATGAGAACATACAGTCGAGAAAGAAAGGGCAAGATAGTAACAAAAGGGGAAGAAGGCAAAACTACCTCAGCTGATGTAACTCTTGTAACTTTCAGGTTTTCCAAACAACAAAAAATAGTAGGCCAAGGATGCTAAGTACAGAGTATGAGGTAGGAGCACACTGGAAACCAATTAACACTAATTAATGAAAAGACTTACCACATACAGGAAACCAATTAATACTAATTAGTGAAAAGAATTACCACTTGATTGTATTTGTATGCCAGGACCTATTATAAGGCTACTCTGAATTTACTTAATTGGAATCTTGTATTAAATGTGGATCTCTACAGCACAGTATTACTTTGCTATATATCAGTGATCCACTTTGCTACACACTAATCGTCTGAAGTCCTCTATACATTCTCTATGCAGGGAAAAGATCATTGCTTGTGCAAGAGCTGGTTCCAGTCTCTGCTAATGACAAATTACTGTAGAGCAGTGAGATTTGCAATGTGCTCACATAGTCAGATTCTGACTATTCGCTTCTATTATGTGAAGAAACAAGAATCTGTTCCCTTACTTTTATACTGTGAAGTTTTACAGACATTATAAAGAGTAAGAATTCAAGCATAGCTACTGTTACCATATCTGAAGTCAAGACAGGCTTTTGTGATACTATCTGACACGTACAAAAGATCAAAAGGAAATGTTCCCTCGCAACAGGAACAGTTTATGCTCAGCTGGACTCACATTTTCTGAAGATCATTCTCTAAGACTGATACTCTTTTGTGACAAGGTGCAGAATGAGAAAAATATCACCTTTTCCTGGGATGAACTCCCTCTGAAAGACTTCCTTCAGACTGCTATTTCCATGCAGCAGTCTATGACTTGGTAAGATATATAAATGGGAAGCTCCATAAACGGCTTCAGGAGTGTAGGTGTAAGCAGCCAGCTTCTCTCCTGATACTTCACCATTAACCTGAAAAAGAACCAAAAATATCCCAGATGTTTTCTTCTCCATTAGAAGTACAGTGGTTTTAAATTTCCCTTCCTACTTCTGTGATTAACTAATTTACAACACCCTACAGAAATATGCAATTCTAAATACCAAAGCCAGACACACTCCTACTACATGGAGTTTCCAGAATCAAATTCTGACCAAATTTACTTCTAAGACATTGAGAATGTTGCTTTATAATTTATTTAAATATAACTAAAATAAGTATTGTAAAAGCGTGTGTAATATTTCATTGTACTATTGAGCCAGATTCAATCCCTGGTTAAGTCTTTCTATTCACTTTTAATGTACATCCCCTGTTTCTGACAAATGGCAATAGCCAAGCTCACCTAAATGAGAGGCTGCTTATGAAATTTAAACAGAATTTTAGACTTCCTCAGCTTCTGGGCTTTCTACCATGCTTCTTTGATGAAGTCCATGTTGCAACTTGTACAGGATTTATAAAAGCTGGAAAAGGTGGTACTATGTTAAAGCAACTGGACATAGAATGTGAGTGATAAACCCTGAGGGCTGCTTAAAAATCACTACACTCTTATGTTCCATGTGAATTAACTGTGGAAGGTATGGTGGTCTCAGAAGGAGATTCTTCTACAGCAGGTAATGATACACATTTTCAGAAATAATCGATAAAAATACAACTTATTAGCTGGCATGTATTTTTGTAATAATACAGACAATTTTCATCCAGTTTTTCAGCTGAACACACAAATGCTTTCCTAAGCAGGACAACAAGAAATATCACTTCAACAAACAAATGTTCTTCAGGAATCAGTGCAGGTCTGGGCATGAACATATAATTGTAGGTTTCAAGGTTCTTTTATCTGAAAATCCATCCCATCCTGCATTTCAGGGGTTGCCTTCAATATAGCCAAGATAGCAGTATTGAAATTTCTGACTCACCTTCAGCAAGAAGTCAAGAGAGCATCCAACACAGTCACCTATCCAATTTGCTTGCATTTCTTTTATACCATACCACTCAGGAAGGTCAGACAAAGCATCAAACATAGCCTGATGCAATAAAAGAAAAAAAATGTGATGTTCAGCTCTTACAAGCATGCAAATTAAGACTATGGGTTTAATTATAACTAACAGAAAAACAAGAATGTGCTGGTAAAAGACAGGAAGAGATATTTTTATACTGACTCAAATTAATCTCTTTCAGAGAAAAATTAACATGGCACACGTCGGAGGTACAATGTGTCCAACAGATATCCTATTGTTACTAAAAGAGGACATAATTCTGAACAGACTGAACCTCAAACACAGAACCCTTGAGTGAAAATAGACACAGAAAATATTCCTAATGGGTGTAAATTGTAAGAACTGTGAGCAACCTAATTAGCTGAACACAAGTACAGATAAATAAGAAATGTACTTGCAGGTATAATGGCTACAAATGAATTAGTTGTTCAGGACAACAGTTTGGAGATGGCAGTCAAAAAAAAAAAGACATTTATATTTTCAAGTGCTGACTTAAAATGGCAAGACATTTTCCAGCTGCCTACCCATTTTTAAATATTTTTTACTCATCTTTTCTTGAGCACAATAGGCTCTAAAACTGAGAAGGATCTTCAGGATGATGTGATGTTGTACAAATAAGAAATCAAACCATAATAATAAGGATTTACATTACATTCAAAATATGACTGTATTAGAACAGCTTTGAAATAAAGAGCAGAGAAAAAAATGAAAAGTTGGCTCCTTTGTTAGCTAGAATGTCCCACAGCCAGGCCTGTAAAGTCTGTGACCATCTGCACTCAGCAAGAGACAGATCCATACATTCACGTGCTTTCTAATATATGGTATGGAAGCATGATGAACTACTCCAACTAGTACTTGCCTAAAGAATTTGAGCCAGTATGTTTTTAGGAAAAGAAACCTATAGAAAATTAAAGAAGAGGTACAAAGGCTTGGATAACTTAAACTTCATCTCAATTTTCACTTCAAAGCACTTTAAATTTTTGTTCTGAATACTCTATAAATGTCCCAAGTCTTTCCTTTGGCAGAAGTACAGCCAGAGGCATGAGTCACTAGGACAGATGGTAGATATGCTGAACAATTACAGTTAAAATCTCAGAATAAGGCAACATGTTGAGGAATTTTTTCATTAGCTGTGACTCCAACATCAAACATACATGCTCTTTATTACCTCATTAACTGCTAGCAACCCACAAAGATGGACACTACGTACGACATGCTGCTCAAATTAAATTGTTGGAAGGAAGATAATTAGTGAATATAAAATTCATATTAGTAAAATGAGATGCATAAAAGATGTTAAAAGGATTACATTCTAGTTAATACTCTGTTGTATACCCATCGCTCAAAGTAAAATAAAGGACATATGCTTCATAAAACATACTACTGCATCATCATTTGGGATTCATATAGCTTTCTATATCCTTAAGAATCAAATTCCTTCTCTGATGGTTTATAAATAAAAGTACGGTAAAGTTTTAGAAGGTTTTTAATCACACTGTAACCTTTATGAGCTTTAGTTCACAACTGCAAGTGTACTGAATCACAGAGATTGCTCAAATCTCCTTATTCTTATTAATTTCAAGGTTCCAGAGACAACTGAGATTTATTTGCTGCGAATAATCCATGCATAAATACATCTACCAAACAATAAGAGATATCTGGTTATGTATACTATATTTGGAGACATTCTTCAGAAGAACTTTATGCAATTTAGAAAGTATGAAATTGGGCCAATACACAGAATTGATTGGACACTTTCAGCAGATTTTTATAAAATCTCTACTTGGATATCCTTCCTAATCTACATTTCATTTTTGCTGGCAGAAACACTGAAGTGTGCATGTGCTCTACTGAAGCTGTATGCTCTATAATTCTCTGCCAGAAAAACTGCCTAGATTTTTCACTGTAGGATTATTACATCAAGATCCTTAATACCAGTATGTTAACCATTTTAACTCTATTTAGCAGGCTTGATTAGAAGTTATAGGCTATAGTTTGCCTGAGCCCAATTATTCTCTTCATAATTTAATTGCTTCATGCAGTTAAGACCAATATTTAAGAGCCAAAAGAGCCAACTTTGCTTCACCTGAATGAAGATAACAAAGCTTATTCCATGTTGTGACACAGACTAGCATTTTGGAAACAATTACCTTTCACACCTTAAAGTGTACATGAACAGTACAGTGTGACCAAAAAGAAGAAAAAAATCAACATGGAATTATGATTCTCTGTTCTTTGTACTCAACACTGCTTTGGCTTCTTGGCAAGGCTATGAAGGCAAATAAAGTAGAAAATCTCATTCACCTGTCAAAATTTACATTCTGTGCAAATGAGGAGATTTTTAAAAACTATTTGAAGGGAAAGTGAAAACTTTTTGTCTTCAATTGCATTATGCTCTGCAAAAATATAAATACATACATAGACTGCTTGGTATGTGAAACTCTACAAATTGAAGATCTAAGCTGGCACATAACTTCTGAATAGTATAAACTATCTTTTGAAATGTTAAATATTGTCTCCAGGAATCTTGTTTCCAAGTTCTACTTTAAAAGTCACTGATATGTTTGGTACAAACATCTTTTGAATTAAGTTAGTTTGATTAATCTTGCTGCTAATTATTGTTTTGCAATCACTGGTATGATTCCTTAGACAAAAATTCTGATTCCTGAAGGCATGTATACAGCCCAAGAGCCTGAGCTACAAGATCTGTTAACTCAGTAGCACAGAAAAGACAAATAACAGTAGAATGAAGAAGATGATGTTCTCCTGAACAACCGCTATATATACTGATGCCCTGCTTACAGAGACACGACTGAACATTGTTTGCTGATGGGAAGTAATAGAACAGTTTTCTCTCTCTTTGATTTCAGATAGCCTTTGCTTCCTCCTCCCCCCCTCCCCCCCCCTCTTTCTTCTTTAACTAAAATATCTTTATCTCAGCCTTTTTCCATCATATTCCTCCCTCCCCCCCTCAATCTTCCTTTGAGGAGGGAGTTGGCCATCAGTGTGAAACCACCATAAACATAAATACATTCTGGAAGTCTTACAGGTCTGAAGATAGACAGACTCAGGGAAAAAAAAAAAAAAAGTGAAAGTGAAAGAAAGCAAAGCTACATTCAGGGCTAAGAATGCCCTTCAAGGCTCCTACATCTTCAGGAAAGACTGACTTAGGTACTGGAGAAGCTGAAGATAAACTAATGCTCCACAGGACTGTTTTACTCTTTCTAAGCAACTAGAAAATTCTGGTGTAGCTAAAAGATGAAAGTCAACCAGTACAGATGATCACAGAGTCATAAAATCAAGAGAAGCTTGCTGTGAATTCATCATGGATAACGGTGGCCAAGTCTAAAACTAGAAATAAGGCATCCTGAATGCAGATAACCAATTTCACAGACCCCACTGTTTGGTCAGCTGAAGATTTATTGAGAAACAACTTTCAGTTGTTTAGTAATCTTCAGACAAAAGAGAAAACATTAAACCAAACAATAGAAATGTTTTATAGTTTCCCAAGAGTATCTCACTTCCTAAAGTCCCCCTGCTTGTAGTTCAGAAAGGGTGAATTCTAATCAGCACCTAAAAAATTCACTTTCTAACTCTGAGAAATAAAAATTTTAATACGTGCAATGCCTTTCATTAATCTCATATTGAGGAAGAGTATTCCAGCTTCTCTTTAGAGTATTCTCTAAATGCAGTACAATGAAACATTATGTATAAAGCTAAATATTTACTATGCTTTCAGTGAATTCACTCTAATGAAGTTTCACAAATTTGCTGCTTAACTGAAGCATCTTAAATAAAGACTAAAAAATGTCGTAGAAGGTTTAATTTCAAAAGCATTTAATTAAATAGCAAAACAAAACTGTCTTTAACTAAACAAAATTAAAATTAAAAGCAGAAGCATTTTTCTAAGGAAAAGTAAAAAAAAATTAAAGATGTTTGGATTAAAACAAAATTATTCACTTCATTCAACCAACATATCCAAATATAAACTAAAGATTACACAGAATCATTTAATAAAATGCAGTATACTAACTAAAGTACAGGAAATTAAATTTAAGATGCCCACTACTTTATTTTGCATTCTATTGCATGGTTCCAGTTGTGATTATGTGGTACAGCTTCTGTTGGTATTTTTAAATCTCTTCTTGTTTTGCTTTTTTTGGTTGGGGGTGGTGGGTTTTTTTAGTTGGTTCTTTTCTTTTTACCTTCAGTAGTTACTCCCTGTAATGTCATAGGTCACTCTCAACTCTTACTTCCCAGGTGAAGTATAGTGAAAACAAATATAAAGGAGTAATAACACAGATACTGTGTATGATTCCAGTCCTCCCTTCTGCACGTCCGAACTGTCAGCAGTTTTTTTCTTATATAATTCATGGTCAACAAACATGTAGCTGAGGCAAATAACTGACATCTCAAATGCCAGAAATAAAGCCAGTGTTCTCTTCTACAGTTCTTCTCAGTCTCACTGTAGCAATGCCTAAGTGAAAATATTCTCTTTCCAGCACAACAAAGTGTATCTTTGGGGAAAAAATAAAAAGATTCTGTAAATATAAAAGCTCTTTAAAAGAACTGCTATCATTTTTAGTAGTACTTAGCTCTTACTGTTTGCATTAATCTCATACCAAAAGGAAATTAAATTCATATTACTGTAGTGCTACGTGATATGCTGCATTTGTACTGGAGTGAAAGCACAGCCTGGCCCAGAAATCCACAGAATGCTTTCCTGTCTTGCCAAGCAAACAAAACAGGTGTCATTTCTTTATTAACGAAGCACTAAGAGATGGAGCTCTTGGACCCTGGCCAAGAGAGCTCTCAGCATGACTAAAGGAGAAGAGTTTCAAAGCAAGTTTTATCAAGCCCATTCTGTTTCAAGTAGAAAACTGTGAGCTAGACTCCAAGTACAGGAAGTGAAAAATCACACATCCAGCATGAAGAACTAAGGAGCCAGCATTTCTGTTCTCCTCATCACCATGAGGCATTACCTCTCACTGTGAAATGCAAAGTGCTGTCAATATTCTTAACATTCT